GTTTTTCGTAGTAATTTTTTCTTTGTTTTGTTTTTCTTTTTTCTTCTTACTTTTTTTTTTTTTTCGTTTGTGTGTGTGTGACAGCCTTTAAAATGTCTAAACATTGATGCCACAACTTTTGGGTCCTCTATTTTTGTTATTGTTGTTTTCCATGTACTGTCTCTACCCTTCTCTTTCTGTTCCTTATTTCTTTCGTTCCTCCGTCTCCTTCCCTAGAGTTGTATTCGTGCGTGCGGGTGTAATACATAAAAATATAAATACCACGTGTGTACGTGTGCACATCTATGCTGTTCAGGATCCAATACATACCACAAATACAAATAGAAATACAAATTTATCATGTAAAATGCATAGAAGGTGTGTGTGTATATATATATCACCCTAAATGAAAAAAATGGGCCTCTATTACTATATATATATATATATATCCTTCCGTTTTTCTTCACTGGTTTTCCCCTTTTTTCCCCTTCTTGGGTCGGGTGGATTCGGCCGGGGCCCTTGTCTCGACGTCATTGGCGTTCAAAGGGAAAAAAGCAACAACAAAAACAAGCAAGCAGTGCACTGCACGCGATTTTGCTCTCCCTTCGTACTCGTGCCCTCTGTGTTTCGCCCCCACTACACACACACACACTCCCCAGCGTGGAAGCCCCACAACTTTTTGCTTGTGTCACGCCCTCAGTTCTCCCAGCAACGTCGATCACCCGTCCTCCATGCAAACGCCGGATCGACCCTCCACACATGTCCCTTACCCATCGAAAAAAAAAAATGCAACACCGGCAAACCAAACAGGAAAGGAAGAAACGGGGGAAAGTTAAGGGCCTCGGATGCCCAAATGTCCCAGTCCCTCGCCGTTTCGCCTCCATTACACACCAGTGTGCGTGAGTTTCTTGGCAACACCCTTGATCTTCTTTCGGCCTTTGGTTGGTTTTGCCTTTCCAGACGCCGCAGCCAATTTCCTTTCGGCCTCTGTATGTGCCTTCACCGTCGCCTTCACAATCGCCTTTCTCTTCGCTTGTACCTTGGCACTCAGCTTCGGAAGAGCCTTCGCAACCTCCTTCTCGACATCTAGCGGTTTGGATACATCGTAGAGCTGCGAAAGGGCGCCGAATCGCTTGCGGTAATTAAGCTTCATCACCTTGTGGTAGTTTTCTCGCACAAATTTGGCAAACTTCCCTTTGCGCCTTCCCCTTGCTAAGCTTGCGGCCTCTTCTCGTTGCTTCCGCGTCTGCTTCGGGAGCGAAGGGTGACGCGCCGCGCGCTGCTTCAAATCTCGCCGCTGATTCTGCGAAAGTTCCTTGTACATCTTGGAGAGGATACGGCCACGTTTCGAGATGGCGCACCCCTTCAGCGCTGGATTGCTCTTCTGATCCATCAGGAAGAGAGTGAAAGGGCTCACGCCCCGCAAAAGCAGTGAGACGCGAAGCATCCCTTTACTACTGCCCCCCACAAGCCCGTGCGTGAGCCTTGATCTACATAAAACGATAAGCAAAAAATACCCCAGTTCCCCAGTGAAAAGAAAAACCACATACACGCACAAAGGGTAAAAGGGATAAACAAAAAAAAAAGTGTGTGAAAAGCAGAGAAATTCCAACGTTGCACAGGCAAAGATGCAATGAAAAGTAAATAAAAATAATAACAGTCTATTCATATACATATATTAAATGATGGCTAGTAGGATGTGGCGATGGCAAACATTTGGTCATCGTCCCCACAGAAGCAAACAAACAGATTAAAACAAAAGAACAAAAGATCGTTAAACAAGAATAACGAATATGCTTTTTTTTTTCCTCTTCGGTTCTTCTTCACCTCTTCAGTGTTTGTTAGTTTGCACGGAACCGAAATTGCCAACCAGGAGACGTAATTCGTTATGAAGACGCCCGGCATCCCGTAACGCGCAGTGTGCGTGGGAATCAAGCATTGCATCTTGAGAAATCGTCTGTTCCATCGCGCTATGGTACCAACACGCCGTAGCATCATCAGCATTAGTCCCGCCGTCTCCACCACCCCGAGAGAGAACTTCGGTTACGGTTTCAATGTCAAAGCAATAGATTTCTTGAAGAGACGGTATGGGAAACTCACTCCCCTCCATCGCAGAGGCTGCCCCAAACACCCAGCGCAGCGCGTGAACGTCCATAGTAGAACCCTGGTTTACAAAAAAGACACGCTCACTGACTACAAAAGGAGCAAGTACCCTCGCTACTTCTATGTAATCGCGGCGGAGAAAGCTCGCATTACGAAAGGGTATGAAATGGCTTCCCTTCAGGTATCCACAGCTCAAAGCACAGGCAGTAGCTTGATCTGTAACTCTACCAGGATGAAGAAAGCAGTGAAAACTTTGAAACTCATGTTCGGTGCCAAGAGGAATCAGCGCCATCTCCAACGGAAGCGGAATTCCACCTGGAAGCACAACTGCGGCTTCCACATCGAGGGCGACAAAAATGGCCTTTAGTGGGCCTCCAACCGTCTCAATGAGACGTGCAAGCTCTGCGGCATCTCGCATACGTTTGGTAAGCGCACGGTTAGGGCGCTGAGTCAGAGCCCTTTCAGGCAGCGTCAAGCCACCCTTTCTCCCCGTACGCCGCTCCCTACAGAACATCATCCGATCATCGTCCGTCGCAAAACGGTTATCTGGATACAGAATTTGTAACTTCTCGACAATGGCTGGATCCACCGAGAGAAGTAATGCCCAACCAGTGGGCTCAGCGTTAATGTATCCCACATAAAAATCTATTCCAGGATACTCCTCGATGTGTTTCTTACGCAGTTCCGCTCGATTCATAGTGGGTTCAACGGCAATAAGCAGGCACTTGCCAGGATGAGCATCGATGAATCTCGTGGCGGCTGACGAATTCATTGTCAGACCCTCTGTGCCAATATATCCTTTGCATGAGGATACTGATGCTGATGGCAGTGGTGATAACGACGATAAGGCGTGTTGACCAACATAACTCCCGTCCACTGTCACAGTATTTTCCCCGTCACACGTCCCCTCGAGCACATCAGTCAAATCCGGCTCCTCGCAGGAATTCTGCATGTAGAGATCTGGAAAGGTCCGTCGAAAAGGACCCTCAAGGTCCTCAAAGACGTGAAAGAATGCCCTCGCATGATTGTACACCTCCTGCTCATGAGTGTCCATGACAGCTTCGGTAAAAATCTCCTGCGCATCCACGCTGTCCTCATCAGAGATGGTCTCCAGTACACTCTGAACTCCAGCATCAGTGTCGCTTTCAGAGTACAACATCACTGCTTGCCTTCCTTGTGCCTGAGGTCGCCAAGAAAAGAGCTGCAATAAGTATATATATACAAACACTTTCTTGTGTTTGCGTTTGATTTTGTTTTAAAGGACATGCAAATAAAACCCACTCTCGTTCCCACCTGCACTGCCACCAGAAAAGATTGTTAAAAAGGCGTCAGTCTCACTAAGCAGGCACTACGGGACAGTTTGATCACTCAAAAAAATTACAAAGTAAAACCCAAACGGCCTAATGTTTCTCATCCACTTCATGGTTCTTTTTCCCCCCCGCCCTCCAGCATTGCCGCCACAGCCAGTAGCTTCTCTGTCTGCTTCTTCTGGGTGTTTATCTTCTCTTCAAGAAGCATTACCTTTGCATGTTCCTTATCACGTTCCGCCTTGCTCTTCTCGGCTCTTGATATCATTTGTTGTCTATCACTCTCCAATGCGTAGATTCGCCGCAGCTGACGTTCCTTCTCACTCTTGGCACTTTCAAAAGATCCCCGCGCCTTCAACAGACGTTTTTGAATATCCTCCAGGTACGTCAGCCACCCATTCACCTTCTCCTGTAGTTGCGCATGCTCCTTGTGGGCTGCTTCCAGTCCCTCAATTTCCTCTGCCAACTCCTTCTCAAGCTGTGGCTTACGAGCCACATCCGCATCCCGCTTGGACTCAATCTTTGCGTACTCCGTCTCGCGGGCCTGCATAATCTCTCTATACTTGTCCTCTCCTGTAGAGTGATACTTGGCATAAATTTCCAGTTGCTCCTTCAGGGAGGTGTTCTCATGTTGTGACTTCGCTTCCAGCTGCATCACCTCTTCCGAGTAAGCATTCACAGTATCAATGGCAACACGAAGGCTCTCTGAAAGCTTCTCCCTCTCCTTCTCATCTTCCTTCCGTGCCTGCTCATATTTTTGCTCCTCCGCCCGATTAAGTTCCTCCAGTGTTGAGCGCACGGACTCCACCTTCTGAAGCTGCTCCTGCATCCGTGCTAACCGTTCTTGCAAGGAAACCCTGTGCTCCTCCCTCTCACGCAGAAGAGCTCTCTCCCGCTCCACCTCCTCATCACGTTGACGCAACTTCACCAGCTGCAACACCAGTCGCTCTGAAACTGGGGTCATCGCATACGTTTTACTCCTTTCCAGACCCGTCCCTTGTCCTTGCACTTTACCACTCTAAGTGTGTGTGTGTGTGTGTGTGTGTGTGTGAGTGAGTGAATGTTACCCACCCACAATTAAATGAGAGTGTGAAATACAAGGGAATAAAAGAAATGGTGATGCAGACAAGGAGGTAAAGCAGCCCCATGGGGTGGGCCCCCTCCTGCGCGCCTGCACCTGCCAGCCAAATCTGGGCAAGCGCCACACACGACCCCAACCGCTGCAGGGGACTGAGAGGTGGTTCCCCAACAAACTCCAATACACAACTGTCATAGAGCCAATAACACAAGTCAAAGTTAAACCCAAAAACTAAAATAAAATAAAAATTCTCTCTTGAAAAGCCTTCAACAAGCAAGAAACAGCTGCATATACATATAGTTATAACGACGTGAACACGCGCACAAAAACGCCTCAACACCATTCTGAGGAACATTTTTATTCGTTTAACTTTGCATTACAATTTCACTGGCACAGTAAACACAAGAAAAATACTTAATCGATCATAACGCAAAGAAATACGCCGAACACAAGCAGCACAAGGTCAAAAATAAAACAAAAAAATATCATGAAATTAAAATGCATCCACTCCTACGCTTCTCTTCCTCTTAATCACTTACCCTCTCTCGTTCCCTCACTCTCTATCAGTTATTTGGGTGCGTACGCACACACATACCTGCAGAGATGCTCGTGTGTGTTAGTTTTACTCCCTTGATAAACTACATAACTTTGGTTCTGAGACACACTGCCTTGTTTGGACTCATTTCATACGGACAAACAGCCCAAAACTACGTGTTTGCAGGGAAATATCTTTCCGTCTCGGGGCTCCTTTCCGCGGGTGACCTTATTTGGCTTTGTTATGAGTATCTCTCTCTCTCTCTCTCTCTCTATCTCTCTCTCTCCTCCTGGCCATTTCACAGAGGTAGAGTCACAAGACGTCATCACCCCATTTTTATCCATCAATGGTAGAAAAGCCTCATTGCACGGAATGAAGTGTTTTGTATCAATCGCATACGTGTACAAAGAGACGATTAGCGTTATGCCCAAGAAGAATCAGGTGATTTGCAACAAATTATGCGCGGCGTCAGAGGCCCCTTGACAAAAAGGCTGGAGCGAGGGAGCCACACAATCTAAAACAGTGGCACAACTGCCTAGTTGACCGTCAAGAGTATCAAAGGCGGACCTTGTCTCCACTAACCCGTTGATGGCGTAGAACGCCCCATTGACCACCTTGCCAATATCACTGAGCCAAGCGTCTTTGCCGCATGTCGCAGAACACGCCTGTAAATTGTAGCTTGTCCTGGGTTGTAGAACACATGTATATCCTTTTAGCTGGGCCGCCGCCATGGATGATGCAGGGCCCGTTATCTGGGGTGCTGTGTAAAGCGGCGTCCTTACCCACGACATTACACTTCCGCCTCAGTGACACCGCTGCACACCATGCGAGATGGGCAGGCAAAGGCCTTTGTTTTGTACCACGCTCACGGTGGTCGTCATGGCTCCATCGTAGCAGTATGGCTGCACTTCCTCACAAATCAATTGTGGAAGCTTCCAAAAAAAAAAAAAATTCTTGAAGACGGCAGTGTGGACGTCAAAGACAGTGCCACTGCACTTAGTAACCGTCTTTAGAACGTTTGTGCGGCGCCCCGTAAATTCCGTAAACTCAAAACAACTTTTTCTGACGAGGAATGAAGAAGCGGAGTATATGCCATCAAAACCCAATGCCACCACCGTAAGTAAGTGCCATAATCGAGACGGACATGAATGCTCCGCGGCGACAGTTGCACAAGGCACAGAATATCCCCACAAACAAGACTCCCAGCGGGACGCAAAATAAAACGCACGGCGCCCATAAACATTTGGCGATGGCGTCGAATAGGCTGACAACTGTCACATTAAGCATGCTAGCAAGAGCCTTGGAGCGCTTAGAGGCCGCCGCACGAAGGCCCTCATCCGCTTTTTAACTGAGCAGGGTAATATTCAACCTCTTCTAAAAACTCCACATTCCGAGTCTCAACGTTTTGGAATGACAATTTGCGACATGGGGTCAATTTCCCTCGTCTGCGAGAGCAATCAATGCTGAGAAACACACACCCACACGCAGGCCATCACACAAAAGCAAAAAGACTCCCACGCTCAACAAGACAGGACGGACAAGAACTTCCTTGGTGTAATTTGCCGCGTAACCCCTCAGCGGGCACCAAAGGTTTGGGTATTGTTTACGGCCTCCACAACTATCAGAGAGGTTTTTGCCAATCAGGCATAAAATCACAACAAGCCCAACGACACCACCCACGACAAACCTCGCAATGGCAAAAACTAACACCGTGGTCTGATAGTTGTCTAGGTTACATTCACTCCACTCCTCTGCACTCGGGCGGAAATTCAGCAGACGCCATCTTGCAAAAGGGTACTGCAGCATTGGCATAGCCGCCGCCTCCACCAGAGTGAAGCAGAGCAGTGATACAACCAGCACAGCTACCGTCACGCAAATGATTGCTAAACAAAAAGCTTCAACCAACCAACCAAACAAGATATATATATATATATATATGTATAGAAAAGGAAACTCCAAAGATGGACAGTGAAAAGGTGACGCATATGTGTGCGAAGGGACAAACGCACAGTTATGTTCTTTTCCTCGTCGTTTTCGTTGTGGCTAGTAGTGACACTACAAGCCCCAATATCACCTGCAACTCGAAGCTCAGCGTGTTACCAATGGAGCAAATAGTTAGGATGCACAACAAAGAAAAAATGCTTGTTATGGTACACACCGGTATATATTTCGTTTCGGCTGCTTCTGTTACTTGGAGGAAGCGACGCCACCTCGTTGGGCATTCGAGGCGGATCGGGGCAAGCTCAAAGCAAAGCAACACAAGGGCGTACGCGTGACCCTCGTGGCTAATCGCCCGCCATTTCATTCGCCTCAGAAGACCACCAAGTAGAAATTAACATAAAATAGTGCAGCTCAGAAAACTCAAGCAACAACAAAAAGAATATAACAACAAGTAAACATGGTTTTCCCTGCATCCCCGGTGCGGTAACTAAGAAGCAAAGAAAAAAAAAAACACATGACACACAAACATATTTAAAAAAAAAAAAGAATGAAGTCAAAATTCGTTTTCATGCAATAGACGGGCTCTCTTTGTGAAACAACGGAGTGGCAGCCTTTAAGGGGAAGGGGCCTCGCGACCGCCAAACCACTCCGCGTCGAAGGCAGTAGTTGTGTGAGGATGATATCAACCTCAGGGAGTTGGGGTACGGTGACATAAACAACGAAAACAATAACTGCCCTCCCGTCACCCTCCAACGCGGCATCGTTGGAAACTGATTAGCAAATAATAATAATAATAAACATGCGGCATGAACAAATCGTTCTTCTATTATTTTTTTTTTAGCCCCAACTAGTCATACCTACACACACCTACACCCCCGTTGTGCAAAACTCTACAAAAGGAAAATATGAGTAATTACACCCAAGAAATGTTATGTCAACAGAAGTTCATTCTTCCCTCAAATCTGAAATAAACTTACTAAAAGTCCTCTCATCACGATACGATATTTCATTTATGGGAAGGTATACAAGCTTTTTTGGGTTTACGGTGGAATCAAACATGTACAAAACGACATCTCCTCCGTACATGTCGTACACATCACGGGTAACCCTACGTAGCATATTCTCACAGACACCACATGGAAACAACGGATTGGGATCCGTTTCGGCTCTCCGGTTTTCGCCGTGGACGAAAATCTCTCGTATGGCGCTGGTTGGAAGTCCCATTGATGCAAGTTTGCCCAACGCATTCTGCTCAGAACACCGTGATCCGCTGGGTGTACTAAGTTCATAGTTTACTGCTATCACATAGGACCTGTTGCAGGTGCACCATGCATTTCTTGGATACTTCTGCCATTTTTGGCCTTCAGAACTCAAGGCTGGGTATCTCGCACGCTGACCAGCGTCAGCCTTGCAGTGGCACTCATCAGGGTCAATATATGTTATTAACGACGTCACCACAGGCCTATTCGGGTCCTTTTTTCGCCAACTAGCATGCGCATGTGTTTGACGAAATGACATGATGATGGGGCACACGCTTGAAATAAAGGAGCCTTCAGGCTCCTTTATTAGATCCACAATGTTACAGTTCCGGCCGGGCTCAAATCGAACACGGATTTGCTCACATGCGGCCTGAACCTTCACGGGTAAAACTAATGAATAGAACTCCTTGGACGAAAGCCTGATCAGTGACAAGACAGTCGTCAAACAGGGTAGCAATGACACTGGTGTGGGAATATCCGGAAAAGTGGCAAGCACCTCTCGCAGCTGGTGCTGTGTCTGAATATCGCGAACGAGGGCAATGTTCAACCACTGAAGGAGCCAACAAGGGTCACTTCTAGCCACAATGGCGTCAAAAGCATTGTTACTCAACTGTTGTACATCACCTACCGTACGCAGCCCCAATTCATCTAATTGGGACAAAAAAAGGAACAAACGAGGCTGTGCCTTGAGGAGGTTCTTTAACGGCCATGATGCCAGCATTGGTGTTCTCTCCTCCATTTTAATATCAGCATGAATAAAAAGGCACCGTGAACCGTGTCGGCATCGTTCATTGTGGCGGCATACAACAGGCTGTGCAGCTTCAATAACACCCTCGTGAATAAGACCAGCCACAAATAAAAACCCAGCTGTGGGTATTATCTGCTCCGACTTGAGACAATGCACATAAGAACCGCTAGATACATAAAATTCTTTCAAGTCAAAAACGCTCAGCTCCAGCCGCCACACGGAGCTGTTCAAAAGATGGGCATTGTGGCAATTGCACGCTTTCCCATTAAGGCTTCTCGCACACAGCATAAAACAATAATGCACCTTTCCAAGCATCTGCTTCAGCCGCGGCGGTGCTACATCCTCCTTCTTGCAAAGAAAAAAACGGAGCTGTTTCTGTATAATTCCTTCTACATTATTTCCTGTCGATGATACACGGTGTACGTCGAGGTTTCGTTGGGTAGCCGGAAGCTCACCAGATCGGTGAGGGGATGGAGGAAATTCCTCCCGCAGTGGCGTACCTGACCGCACAGTCTGTGGTACAGCAAACGAAGAGTTCAAAGATTCCGCGAGACCCAGGCCACCCTCTTCTTCCAGCGCCAACACGACGTACTGCATGGTCTTTTTGGCCTCTCTGGGTGGCAAGTACGCCTTGTAGAAGCTAATAGAATTCCATATGTTCCATCCCGTAGACATCATCTACGCAACAGGCCGTAGCAAGAAAAATGTATGTATGCGTGTAATTCAGAGGGAAAGAGTCGGTGTCGACCGAGTCCTCCTTTTTTTTTTTTTAAAAAAAAAACTAGTGGCTTGAGATAAATAGCGACGTGCACTCTTTTTCCTCTCGCCCATGACCCTCAAAAAAAAAAAAAATACGATGGAAAAGAACGTCAAATTTCTCGTTTAACCTCCCCCGCAGCCAGCTAAATGGCTTGCCACGTGATGTACTCCCCGTGGCTGGGGTCAAAGAAACAGCAGAGCCATGCAAGCGTATAACAGATGAAGGGGAAGGGCACAACACTTCGGTCGTGTGCACCGCTCCTTCTCACTCTCTCATCAAGGAACAAAAACGATAACAACAGTAAACGCAAACACAGAGAGAGAAAAAAAAAAAAAGAAGCAATTAAAAAACCATCCAACAAAAAAAAAAGGCAGAAAGATGCGGCGATAGCAACTACCACAATAATGACAATAATGAAACAAACAGAAAGACATCACAACTGATCAATGCCGCTGCGGTTTATTACTCATACGAGAAGCGACGTGCGGCCGCACAGAGAGGTTTTCCAAACAAATACTTTTTTCACTACACGGCGCATCCCCTGGGAAAAGCTCCTGTTTTTCCTCTTTGTCAACATAAATTTCCTCTAAATTGGCATCGGGATCGATGCGCATGTCGTGCACGTTGCGCCTCAGTTCAGGAAAACGACGTGGCCACCACACATACCACCCGGATCCAATGCCCATAAGTGCAGGGACAAAAAAAGGTCGAACCACAAAGGTATCAAGCAATACTGCCACACTGCACACCACGGCGAACTGCGAGAGCATCATAACCGAAGAAAATACCATCGAGCCAATCGTCAGAAACATGATGATACCTGCAAACGAAATGATGGAGCCTGTCTTCCACACCGCCTTTGCCACAGCCGCCTCGTCGGTGTAGCCCTTCTTCTTGAACTCAATGATGCGTGTCATAAGGAACACGTCGTAGTCCAGGGAAAGTGCGCAAAGGAATAAAAATGTCAATAGGGGTATTAAAAAACAATAATATTCCACATGCTCCAGCCCACGCCAAACCGGATGAAGCCACTTATATTGAAATACGATGACACCCACCCCATACGAAACACCAACGGTGTAGACGACTGTGAAAATGAGTCGAAACGGCAGAAACACAGAGCGAAAAACGAGGAACATAATGATGAAAATACCCCCAAACACCACGCCAATCTGGATTGAAAAAAATTCCATTGACTTGCTCATAATGGCCCATGAAGCACTACTCGCTCCAAAAATTCCAAAGCTGAACAACACATTATTGGCAGCATGCTCCCTCAAAATATCCATTATTGTATTGAGGTATTTCTTTGCAGAGGCTCCAAAAGGGTTTTTGGGTGGTATAAGAAAAAAGTAAGCCGCCTTTCCCTCAAGCACAGACACTGTTTGATTAACAAGATACTGATAATTGGGTTCCAACTTATAAAGACAAAAAGATTCCCATGCCTTCAGCCAAACAACCTCCCCGCTCGCTGGATCCAAGACCATGTTGGGCGAGATGATCGACGAATAAGATTGCCCCGTACGTGTAAGAATTGCCTCAATGACAGATCGCATTACATTCGTCATTTCGTCCGTCTTCCAAAATGAAACGTCGTACACGCCACGCACCGAAAAAAGTATGTAAAACGGAATAGCCAATCCTCCACCAATATCACGCTGGATCCGTTTCAGCACCTCCCCGTGCGGGCTTCCCCTTGGGATTTGCGTGAAAACGTCAAAGTCCACTTGCAGCTGCGCTGCAAAATAAAAAAAAGGCGCGCCAAAGGCAAGAACGGCCGCTATTGCAACCCACGGGTGCCGAAAAGAGTATCGACTAAGACCAAACCAGTACGATGACATTTGCCGCTGATACTCAAGGTTCTCATGATCTGAGCACGTCTGCTCTTCTTCGGGGAGCAACTGGCCTTGCATGGCAGCAATTGGTTGAGACGCGTTGCCGAGGGAATCAGCATGTGGCGGGTAAGAGTGGCAAGGCCACACAAAGAAGCAAAAACGCAGTTTATGCCAAAGTTCTGTCCATGTGGGGGGATGTCCAAAAAAGTCACAAAAAACCAATAGGAGTGCAGGCTGCAAGGTGAGGCTGACAAAAACGGCGCAGACAACCGTGATGCACATTGTCAGCCCCACCGTGGAAAGAAATGTGACGGGCATAAACGATAAACTTCCGACAGAGATGGCAACCGCTAACCCCGAGACAAAAATATTGTCAAAAGATAATATTGCAGTATTTTTCACCACAACCCACTCCACTCGCGGGCTTCGTCCAAGCAGAATCTCTTGCAGCCGAACCTGTTCCCGAAAACGCGTGAGAATGAACAAAGAATAATCAATTGAGAGAGCTGCAACCACACCGACTGTTAACTCTGGAGCAAAAGATGACACTTCCAGTAGAAGTGAAACTGGGTACATAATTCCAAACGCTATCGACACTGTGCAGGAAAATGCCAAAAATGGAACCAATAGCAACCGCACCGAGCCCAAGCAGTAACTTAACACCAAGAATGCCATCGGAAGAGAAATAACATCCACGTGAAGCAAATCCCCCAGAATACCAGCTGCAGCATCGTCTGAGACCAACTGTGTGCTGGTATATTCCTGAGTAAAAGTTGCGGTATGCTCATTACACCACGCATCGATAACGGAACTGACAACTCGCATAACAACGTCACTCTTCACAGAAGGTGCTAAATTGAGCGTCAACAAAGATGACTGATTGTGATCTCCGCCAATGAAGAAGTCACGCATTGGACTAAACTCCGGGACAGCAAAGTAGCCAAGTATGTTGTTCACCTTGCCGAAGATGGGACTACTCTCGTTTCGTAGCTGTTGCAAAAGATAGTTGCAAAGAAGTTCAAAGTTTGGGTCCCCCAAAATACTCCGTGATAGATTCCTGGCCGTTAACAACAGATACAAAGGGTTTATTGGCAACTGATGTGGGAAATAAATCGTTGCCGTCTGTACGGCATCGTGGACAATGGTATTCTTCGGGGCAGCAAACGTCAATCTTGTGTTGTGAACAAAGATCCGTGCAAAATACACCGTTGCGACAAAAAGCAAACAGTACAGTACTACTACCAATACGGCCAGTTTCTTTTCCTTAATCATACTTGCAGTCTTGGTGTGACAGAGCGGATGTGTGTTGGCGCCTTTCCTTTCGTCGACGTTTCTCTTCTCTCACCCTTCCTATTGTTTTGGGACAAGACTCCTCTTATTGGAGTGTCTAATTGATTTGTCTGCTGATTTGCCTTCTTAGTTGCGTGCTCACCGCAAGAAAAACAACAACAACAACGACAGTGAAACAGTCAACGGTCGCGCGGGTTCGCAAAAAACTGCACCCCACCACACACCAGAGAACAAGGCTGCCCAGTGAAGCAAACCGTTTGACACATGGAAAAATAAAGAAAACAAGAAAAAAAGAAATGAGTGCAGCGTACGAGTCACTCACGCAGATGCGCGTGTGCTCCCGCCACCTTCCCCACAAGGTCGGGGTCGTCAAAGCACGGATCGAGCGCAAACGGCCGCACCTCGTCATTATTATCCCGCAGCACGTCAAAATCCGTCACCGAGAGAAAAACATTACATCGGGGTGCAGCTGAGGAAAACTCCTGCAACGTGGCGTCCACCACGAGCCCTGGCAGCTCAATCTCAATGTCACTCAAACTACTATCATCCTCGCCTTCGTTATCGCCCTCTGAACGCAGCACCCCTTGTTCAGTCCCAACTTCACCTGCGTCAGGAACAATCTCCTCAACAGAGAAAAGGAGTTTATGCATCATCCTCCCTTCTGTAGGCATCGCTTCACCGGGTGATGTCGCCTTCACTGGTCGCTGTGTGGCCTTCTTCTCCACCAGCGGTGGCATGGATGCTGCACCATCCTCCTCACGCTCCCCAACAAAAAAATTGTCGAAGTCCGGCAAAAGGCCCACAAGACCGCGATTCAGAAAATCAGTCATTGCGGATGTTTTGAGGGCAGCAGACTCATCCAGTTCCATCTCTTCCAATTCCACATCATACGTATGTGTCAGCGACGCACACGGTTTCCTTGTCATCACACCCCAAAAGTCTTTGTCACTATCACCACCAGTCTCACAACCATCCTTACGGTTGTTCCCAACTGTGGTATTCCTCTCATTGTCATTCTGTGCCTCCACACGAAGGGCCTGAGCTACCGCCGTAAACATCTCTGCGTCACCATGCAACTCCAGCGCGGTGTTACCCGAGCTGTCATGTTGCGATTCTCCCAAAACTAGAAAAGCGCGTTCCGCTGTCGAGAGCTCCACAAAGCCGCGAAGGAATGATTCCATATTCTCTTCCACTGAATAACAAAAGGCGCGAAGCATGTGTGCTGCTCCGTGCTCCACCATCATGCACACCGGCTCACAGAAGCACCACCACAGCAAACGCTAAGAGTAGCAGTACAGCAAGCAAAAGAGAAGAAAAAAGTCGTTGGGTTGCCCAAGTTTGTGGGCGCTGCAGCCCCCTTTGCTGCAGGCTAGGGGCAGGTGCAAATGCATATGTATCCAAAAAAAAAAAAAGTCATGGTGTCTGATAGCGGCTGCAAGACGGGGCAAGAGAGGAAGAACGGAAAGGGAAAAAGACAACGGGGTACATTACCGGGATGCTCTCAAATACTCCGCTCTTTTCCGCCTCAAAAAAAAAAAAATTGTATACAAATTCGGAAACAGACAGACAGAAACAACAGGTAAAACTATACCCGCGTCCCTCTCCAAACACATACGCAGCAACACATCAAAGTGTCACCACATATATATACATATATAGATAAGAGTTCAATCTACCTCGCTTCGGTTTTTATTACTTGTGGCTTCCCTTCATGTTCAATAGACGACAACCAGTAACGTACAAGAGCCGGGCAACCCCGGCCCAAAGGCAAACCGATAGAGAGAGTCACGTATATACATAGATCATCCAGAAAAAGTAGCATACCTTGCCGTCATCCAGCAACTTGTTGTACTTTTAAGGATGAGTAGACGCGACAGTCCTCCCACACCCTCCTCATTACCCCAGTCACCTACTCTCGCCTCTTTTACAACGATGGGCAAGGAATACCTATTCCCCCTCTGATACTTCACCCAATTTCCAGCGTTTGTTCTGCTGTTGCTTAACCTGTGAAGTCCCCCATCGTTTCAAGAGAAGCAAAACATGGAAAAATAAACAAGGTAACAAGTCTAGAACCGCCCAGGCAACACAGAGCTCTGTTGTAGCAGGTGCCCTACAATCACCGCATTCTCCCTTTACTCCCCACTGCGCTCATACCACAAGCCTGTCAGACACTATTTCTTCTTCCGCATTCCGTCACCACCTCCCCAACAGGTGTAGAAACTCTAAAAAAAAAAAACGCCACATGTACAAAACTAAACTACGGAAAAAAAAAAGACAGCTCTGATAACCGTCACGCTCTCACGTAGTTGGGGTTTTGTGGCCGCTTTTACCCTTCCCTGGAGCGCCAATTTTCCTCCCCACCCCCCTCTCTCACCTTACAAATACCAAAAACTCAACCACGACGTCACAAAGAAGGAAAAACCAAACAAAAAAGAAGAGCCCCATTTGCAATCGTCCTTTACTGCAATATGCAACTGTGTATCTGTTCTCTTTGCATAGGCACGTAAGATCATGCCACACAAAGTGAAGAAAGATACTATACATCTTTCGCTTGTTGGAAATCCACCTTCTCTTACTTTCTTGTGTCTGTGTTTTTCTTTTTTATCACTTGTTTTTTTCTCATGCTACAGTTTTCTTTTGACATCCTGTTACACTGTTTTTGTTGTTGTCCTTTTTTTTCTTTTGTTTTTCCCGGAAAAAGAGAAAATGAAATTTTTTAAAAAGCGGTACTTTATTGTGTGTTTTTCTTTGTTTTTATCCTCCTTGCCTTCACTGTTGTACTTGCAACTTTGCCTTCAGTATATGGACATAGATGAGCATGAATGGGTGAGTTTATTTGCGTAAGTGCATAAATGTGCCCTCTACCGACCCCACCACTCCTTCTCTGTGGGATACGTAATTGAAGTCTTTCCTCCACTGCAGCCCGAATTATTCCCTGAGGGGGAGGTAGAATTAACGTTGTCTCATTGCCTCACAGAATGGATGCTTGGCGTGAAGTAGGCACTGGATGTGGGTGAGGAAGACATCAAGGTCCCTATGCGGTCGTCTTCGTCAACGTATTCGTCATCATAGTCTTCTTCGTCTTCCCCTTCTTCCTCCTCCTCGTCATAGTCGCTGAAAGTGCTACCAACGTGGGCCACGTCCGTTTTGGGGTCATGCAACTCATGGTGAACGGCCCCTACAGGTGGTCGCCCTATCGACTTGCCACCTCCCCTGGTAGAGGTGCGACTTCCGGTGTATGGCCTGGCGTCCTCGTCAGGTGGGGCAGAGACACCGTACGGCGTTCTTGCAGCTTCGCCCTCGGTGTGTTTGGGGACGACGTGTGCCTCTGCGGCACTGTCAAAATCATCGTAGTCATCGCTGGTTTCATCCCCCTTTGCACGGAAGACCAATGACGAGCTGGCATCATCGTCGTCAATTGCGTCCCAGTCCGCGTCAACAGCGCCGGCGTCGAGGTTGCGAAGCAGCGTCGGGCCACCTTGACTTCCCATCATCATATCCGTCGGGGTCCACTTCAAGTTGTTGAGCCGCTCCTCACGCTCGCTGATGGCATTTTTGCGAAGAAGGTAGACGGCGGTGAAAACCATGGCAAGCAACATATATACCAGCGCTACGTACACAGGTAAAAGCGCTAACGGCATCCGCACCTCCTCTCTCCCGCGTGTGATGCGCACGGCAACAAAATACAGTGAAACCAGTAACATTCCATTAAAGAAAAATGACCCCAACGTGTCAAACGCGACCCCCATAACTGTTTTGACGCCAATAGTTCGCTTCACCATGCTGCGCATAAAGGCTTCCAGCACACGGAGTCCAGCGCGAAGGCAGAAAGGGATAAACGTGGCATACCAACTAATTTGAATCCTCTGATCGATGCGGCGGCCAAGCATAACCCACTGTGCGACGGAAACACCCAGATACAACCATCCCATGAGAAAGAAACCGTTGTACAAGAAACGATTGGGATTATTCAAGCCGATTTCCATCTGCAACCGCACATAACGGGGCCAGCGCCAGACCAAGGAAGACAAATAGTAGACCCCATCGGCTATAATAAGGAAAACAAAATAGGCTGTAAATTTTCTGGATACGCTCGTCGGACCATTCCTGACTTCCGTTGCAACCAAGAAACAAAAAATGGCGTAACACACCGCGGCGATAAAATTTCCAACGGCCGGAATTCGTTCTACAAAGCGCATGCCTTCCTCCCACGGAGGCCTCCAGAACAAGCTTACAATGAGAGCGAGGGCCGTAATAATTACCACCATAATGACAAAGACGAACAGTGGGGCAATAACGGCCAGCCATGAGCAAGACGTGTGATCATCCACTCGGAGCCCCAAAAAAAGGAAGAAGAGGAGCAGCATGATAAAGGCGACCAACATAGATCCACAATAAAAACAAACTGTCCCTTTGGAGCCAATTAAATGCATAAGAGGCCCCCAACTCCCGCTGTGTATGAAGCCTACTGCATCCTCACCAAGGGCATCGTAAAGACTTTTGCGGTCTACGTCGGAAAGGACAAGATAGGCCTGATAAAAATGATGACGCAAAGTGACCTTCCGAAAGGTCCACTGTACTTGTTTTGCCGTTACAGGTTGTTCTAACTCCAATAGATGATAAAGCCTCCAATTGTCTCGGTTTTTTGGCTCGTTGTCGCAGCCCATTGCGCGTCGTCCGTTCCCTCACGCCGCACACGCAAAAGCAGACACCAACAGTCAAACGGTTGAAATGATGTAATGATCCCTAGAACGTCTACAAGAGGAAAAGAGGACGTATTATCCTTTATTTTCCCTTTTCGTTCCTCCTTCTTGCTCTTCCCTTATTCGTTGCGATATCGCTCCACTCAAACTTTTTGTTGGTCCTGTTTATTTTGTCGTTGAGTATGCAATGTATTGAGGCCCACAAACAACCACCACTTCCAGAAAAGAAAAACAACAACAACCAGAGAAAGAAAATAACACACAAACTCACAAGAAGCCTCTCAAACACACCCCAAAAAAAAGAATCAACTGACAAAGCCCGGAGTCTCGCGGAAAAATATGACGATATAACTCCTCTTCAGCAGAAAAAAGTTCATCAAAAGTAAATAAAAAAAAGGCCAAACAGAAGTAAAAATGAAACAAAGTAAAAAAAAAGGCGCTCCGACTATAAGGAGGCGAGGAGGCGTCTCTATTCTAATGGTGTTGGTGCCAAGAAACCGCGTTAGCTCAGAAATAGCATAAAACGTGCAGTCGACACTTGTAGAAGTAGTTCCCCTTCATCTTGTGCTGTCGTTCTTCCTTTCTCTACAAGAGGGATGGAGAATTGTTTTTTTATTTTTTTTTACCCCACATATACGTTCATATGCTCCTTTATTTGTTTCGCTTCACTTTTCTTTTTCCACTCAACTTCAGTATATATATATATATATTATATGGCTTATTCTCATATTTTTCCCCCACCCCGCGCTCATCTACGCATTGGCAACGGTGGTCGCCCGGGGCCAGCGGAGCTCCTGCTCGCTGACCGCGGAACATATTGCGGCTGGTAGGGTCTTTGCTCAGAGGACTTCGCAAACGACTTCGTTGGAAGCGGACTTACCGCTCTATTACGAGATGCAATGGAACACACTGACTCGTCCCGGCTAAAAGCACTATTCACAGAACATGTCCGAGACACCTGAGCCGACGTCCGTTTCTCTCGCCATTCCAACCATTCGTCCATAAGCGACGGGGGCATATGTGGACGTGCACCACCTCGGGAATGCAGTAAATCAGCACGCCGCCCACGACCATTTGGTGTGCCATTAAGCAACTTCCCGTACCTTCGTAGATCCGTGTAACTTCCATTTGTAGATGCGGACCGCTCCCATGGGACGTGATCCCTCGCATAGGTGTTATCAGTGCCCCAGTCGGAAAGAGGTACATCATCTTTTCGGTCCAAGCTTGTGTACAAAGAGGCAGGAACACGCAGGGGCGTGGTGTCTCGCTCGCCGCTTCGCGAATCCCCACAATCTTCCATTGTCGTCGCGGTGCGACCACGATGGCTCGAAGACGTTACCGGCAATTCTGATCCTTGCATTGTTTGCCGTGTGGCAGAAGAAGAGCGCAAGTTACGAGACCCAATTTGATCCAAGAAGGCCTGTATTCGTTTGACGCTATCTGCACCTCGGCTCTGTCCTGCTTGCTCCACACCACCCGCTTCCACAGCACCAGCATTATTCTCCTGCGAATCATTGTGTGCCGTGAAACAAGATGTATTGGTAGTAGCATCCCTGGAGCCTCCACCACGCTGTTGTGGCTGACGTTGTAATGAAATGGTTGCCTCATTTGAAGTATCCTCGTAGGCTTGTTGTACTGCACTTTTCCAGTGACTTTCGCGTACATTGGGATCCAAATACCCTTTCTGTACGTAATCTTTTGCCGAGTTACAACGCCGATAGACAGTCAAATCTGCATTCTCCACACAACTTGATAAAACAGGAACCCCTTCCTGATTGCATGAAATCGTCTTAAGAGGTTCAGGCTTTTGCTCTGCCTTCTCCTGAAACTTCATTGTCCCATCGGTTGAGTGCGATGATGCCCCTCTAGCTTCCAATGATGACTCAAGATTTGGCACGATGAATGCATTTTTTTTCCTTTCCTTCGTTCCCGGCCCCTTGGCTGCCTCAACACGACGCACAGCTAGCTCCAAGGAGAGGGCCTGCTGTGTCGGGTAGTAACGGAAGGGAATGGAGTACTCCTTCCAAACTCCAGGAGGCACACGGAACTTTGCAGGATCCAGCGAAAAGCCCGCCACTTGTCTGTCATCCTCCCATAGGGAAAAACGAAGCTTGTGAGCTCTCTCAGGCATACCAATAACTCCTACACGGTGAGCGTATTTAAGCTTTATTGGACTTCGACATTCAATAGATGGTGTACTCGAGGAGAACCCACCGTATCGAATCTTTAAGTAATAGCTCCCTCCCAAGAGCAATGGGGCTGGATTGTTGAGGCTAATTGACTCATTCTTGACAATAATCTGCTCAATATCCATTTCCATATACGCAGATCCTTGTGTGTTGGACCGCTGTGCCACAGATACATCCTTTGCAGTGACCGCATTTTCCACGCTGTCATGACGATCAGGAAAAGTTTCAGTGGAGTTATGCTGAGTCACTGTAGCACTCGGTGAAGACTGAGGTACGTACTCTTTTTTGTGCACTTGAATCTGACTTGGGAAAACATTCTCACTTCCATTGTCACCATGGCGGTGGTTGTGACGGTGGTGGGTGGCCGCACTCGGTTTACTATCTGGAGATAGTGCAAACTTATCGACCGATGCTGCACCTTGCCTGTCACTTAGATCATTGCCTGTCGCAGGCACACCACCCGTTTCACCGTCTGTTTCCCATGCCTCTAGTGCAAAGAGAAGCTTGCCAACCACCTGGTTGGCGGCATCGCGCAACTTGATGGCGTAATTCTTCGCCGCCTTCCCAACGTACGGCAGGGGGTCCAAGGTTCCCTTCGCCACGACTGGAGCGAGTCCGCCACTGTAGCTGAGGGGCTTCATATGGAAGGCGATGACGTCTTTGTTGGTATCGACACCAAGGCTCCCTGTGGCATTGCTGAAGCTCAGAGTCATGTCTGACCCCAATGCCTTGAAGAAGGTCGCTGAAGTCGAGCCGCTTGGCTCAATAGGCGCTGTCGTGCGCAACCGGGGAACCCGACACCAGCAACACACAAAACCAGACGTTTCCGGAATGCAGTGACCCTCGGCATCCGGTGCAAAGATTCCAGTAAACGACGTCACATCGCACACTATGCGATAGAGCGTGAATTTGAGTGAAATCATTGACATATGGGCAGCTTAACCCGAAGATGATGCGTCACGCAAGAGCCTCGTCCCCACCACTTTCTCTAACTCTTTTCTCTAACTCCACTAGAACGATTTGCAGTCACTGCTACTTTTGCCCAGCGCCACAGTGTATGGAGGAGCTGTCTTCGCAGTTGTAGCTTGCGAAGCTGAACAAAACCGAAGGCCTGTAAAAGATTAAAACAAAAAAAAAAAGGGAGTTGACAAGGATGAAAAAAAAAAAACAAGTGCAGCTGAACATAACCACAAATAACTAAAGAGACAAAGAGAAGGAACACGAACAAAGCGCGTGTTTTTGTCGTCCTTGTCGCTATTCTTGAATCCTCTCCCTTGAAGGAGTTCATTTGGCCTTGGCCTCAGGAGTTGGATGTTGAAGGTGTGGTGAGAGACCTGGTGCTGCCCGCCCTGCGCATGCCTTCTGAGGACGGCTCGTAGCCTGAGTCGCGCGACTGCCGTCTGCACTCATGCATGTACGGCCCACTCGAGGTCGACAGCGGCAAACAAGGGTTATCCACCGTCAAAAAATCCTTCACGCTCTCAGCCCTTCCACAATGAGATACATTCTCCTCCTCTGCAGGGCGCTCCTGGGAGTGTATCAAGGTCTCATCCAGGAGTGCAGTGTGCTGCTCCTGCCGCTGCTGGCGCCGTAGTTGATGTAACCCACTCGACTTTGCTCGGGAGACGTTGTCTCGGCACGCGTCTTCTGACGTCACGTCACGCAGAGTCTGCAGAGAGTTCTTCATAGACTCACCAAAAGCACTCGGTTTCCCCCATATCGCCGCGTTATGACGCAGTTCTGCACCGAGCTGCTCCGCCTCTCTCAACCGTACGCCGAATGCAGCCCTTTCCTCCTCTAATTGCTGCCTCACAGCTGCATAGTCGCTTTCTGCAACCTCCAATGTTTTACGTTTTGCCTCTAGTTCCGCCTCTACGCGGGACAAGCGATCGTAGACATCAAAGACAGCATTAAGTGCATTGTTGCAATTGCACCGCTGCGTATCGAGCGCCCCAATCTCTTGCTCCATGCTCGTCCTGAAGCATCTCTGTCGGGCTCGTCCTTCGGAATGAGCAACCCGCAATGGGTGTAGCTGCAACAACAAGCCCTCCATAACTTGTGTCATGCACTCAACACCACTCCGAACCTCCTCAGAATTCGAGGAGATCCCGTTCGAAGTCAGGCACCGAGAAAGTTCACGCCTCACATCCTGACTCCATGCCTGGTAAACAGACTCTGCCCCCTGCTGCATGGTAGCCACCTTCACACGGCCTTCCTGCAAGCCAGCAGCCATGGAGCTTATACATTGCTCCAGAGGAGCCACAGCCGCCTTGAATCGTTGCCACTGGGTTCCAATTTGTTCACCGAGTTGGCGTGTATTTCGCTCACACTCTTGCAACACCAACGCCTTCTCCCGCAGAGGAAACGTTTCACCCCTAAAGGAGGATGAAACACTAGTAACCTCGTGTATATCAAACAACACCGACTGTCGCAACTGCTCCAGCTGAGCTTCCAAAAAGTTCAATTTGTTTTCAACTGATTTGTATGCAATGGATCCAGCCTCATCTATCTGTTCCTCCTCCGCACACTGGCGCTGACGACGGACCGCGGCCTCTCTCTCCGCAGTGTAAAGTCGGGCATGATGCGCGAGCTCGGCGGCGCATTGGTGTACAATACGTTTTAGCTCTTCACTTTGTTTATTTTCCATGGTATTCAAGTCCTCTCTAAAACGCTTTATCATCTCGTCAATCGCGCGCTGAGTGCCCTGATGTGTCTCCACTATAACGGTCCTCTGCCGTTCCGCAAAGCTCTGCGTTGACGCAGTGAGGCGATTGTCAAGAGCCGTGCGAAACTTTGTCGCTGCGTGCGCCAATGCCGAATCAAATCCAGCTCGGTGCTTCAAACGTCTTTCCTCCTGAAAGCGGTGAAATTTTTCCTTCATATTCTTTTGAAACAATTGCCACTCATCCCATCTTCGTTGTCTATCATTAGAGAGAATGTCTAGACGCTGTTGAGCGGATTCCACTATTGTCTCTCGGATGCTTCCAACGAGACACGGCTTAACTCGCACGCAGATGCTGTTGCTCATCTCATGCACAGACTTCTTCAGCTTCTCTTGCAGCTGGGTAAGGACTCTCTCGTACGGTTCTGTTGTGTCGATGCTCCCATCCATAGCGCTATGCCTCTCCTGTGTGGCACGCAGGGATGCCGCTTGTTCTTCTAAAAGTGTCTTTAAACGTTTGACGTCACTCTCGCATAGGCTTTGAAGAGCATTCGCAGCATTAACAAGGTCTTGCTGATGGCAAGACCTCAGCCCTCCCTGTACCCACTTCCGCCACAGTTGCAATGACTCCTCCAGCTCCAACTGAATCACAGCTGCGCGCCCAACCTCTTCCTGCTTCTCACAGACGTTGCTTTCTAGACGCCTTAACTCTTGGCACAAGTCGTCTTCGCCTCCCTCCAATAACTTAATGCGAGCTTCACAGGAAACCAAATCCCTTTGAGTTCCTTGTAAATCATTCCGCAAGGACTCATGACGGCCCAAAAGCGAGACTGGGGAAGGAGCAACGTGGGTCGGCGCTGCTGCTGCTGTTGTTGCTGTTGCTGTTGATGTTGTGGGTGATGCGGTAACGTACGATGCCGCCGCAGGAGCATGCTGTTCATCTTCAAAATCAAGAAAAGAGAGCGCGTCACTAACGGTAGGGACAGAAAACGGAGCGGGTGTCGTTGCAGGTCCGCCAGCTGCTGGGACAACACTTTCTGTAAAGAGCCAATCAGGTTCCCTGCCGGACGGTGCAATGGGCGGTGGTGGTTGGTGGACGGCGGGTGGCGGGGCCTGCCCTTTTCGTCGACCTGCCACTGGAATCATCTACGCAACGCCTACGTGGCAGTGAGAGTTACACAAGTGAGCGCAATAATAATAACAGCAATAAAGACAGGTATGGCGAGTCGCCAATGCTGCCAGGGTCCCGCAACTGAGACGCATACATACAAAATCGAGACAACACACACACACATACATACATACATACTTATAGAAAGAAACTAAAAATTTCCACCCTGTCGGGGAAAAGCAATTTTCAACGGCACAGAAACATACGCAGATATTTGCATATACAAACCAACAGCAACGGAAACCAGCAAAAATGTGCAGGACAACACCACACCCCGCACATGGCACATGGGCATAATAAAAAACGATCACGACAACACGCTCACATACAGGCACACACAAAGAGGGAGAGACGGAAAAGAGTAGGTGCGGAAAGCCCAACAATCACATGGCAGTCGCCACCAAAAAAAAAAAAAACAGAAGCTATGGAACGTATATGTGAGCAGAGCCGCAAATCGCCGACATGAATCGGTGGAGGGGAAAAAAATGCCCATAAGCATTAACCCACAAAGAAAAAACAAAAACGGTGCCCAGTAATGCAAATATCGGAAGCGCAAAAAAAAAAAGGAGAGTTTACGCGTAGCTCAACACAACAAAAGAAGCCATGCGAATGAACAGAAAGGGAACACTCAGAAGAACAAAAACAGATAATAATAATAATACTGCTCAAGTTACATTATTCCTGTCACAACTACTCCGTGAGAAACGTGTGCGTTTCAGGATTCACAGCCACGCCACCGACCAAAAAATTAGCATCGTCTTTCGATGTACATTGTTTTACCTTTGACGAATTGACTCTCCCCTGGAGTTGTTTGAAGAGGAGCTGCAAGACGCGCTCCTTGTCTTTCCAACTCAACTGTGAGATCTCGATAGATTGAAGATCCTTCAGCTTGGGGGCACTAGGAATGCAAGAGAAATCAGAGTGGGGAAGCAGCGGTTCCTCTGCCAGAGGAGGGAAACGGGTTTGCAGAACGCCGTTCCCGCCATAGTGCCACTCCTTCGCAGGGATAAGACGGTTATTATGTGTAATGTCGCACTCACTCCTTGTTAGCGCAACCAGCGGAAGAGTATTCGTGTCCATACCCCCATCACCAAACAGTGTTTCTTTATTCTGACACGGCGTGTTGCCCTCACCATCGCTCAGCCGCGAGAAAGGTGTCAGTGGCAGCTGCATTCCACGATCGCTAATCATCAGCGGCTCATCATCGCGCTTCCTCAGTCGCGGAGGAGTTGGCTGAAAGAAAGATGAGTTGGTCTGATGGTAACCGATAGAGCGTGTGCCTCTCCGGTTTTCCTCCAGCTTCTCCCGGCGAACTTGTGCCAAAGCATCGTAAAAAAACATTTCCAACTCGGTGCGTCGCTTCACCATCTTCTGCGATAGTGACCGCAACTTCACAAGCTCGCGACAGAAACGTTCGGCAGAACACTTTGCCGCGTCCCGTTCCTGCGTTAACTGCCGTAACGCAGTGGCATGCTCCTTCGCCTGTTTCTGCAACCGCTGTTCGTAATCCTCCACTACTTTGTTGAGATTCTCCTCCGTCGTTTCAATCTGTTCCTTGAGCAGTTTCATTTCCCGCCGTTGACGCGCGGCCCCCGCAGCGTACTCCGCCTCCGCTGATCTCGCTAGTGCCGCATTCCGTCGGAACTCAATATTTTCGCGTTGGACGGTCTCAGCCCGCTCTCGTGCCGCATTTGCGTCTCCCCACAAAAAGAGTTTTTCCCCCAGGAGTTGCTGGTTCTCCTCATCCACCTCGCGTGTCTTTTGACTGAGGAGTCTCTGGGCCAACTTGCGGACGTCCTCCTCGTGTCGCTCGAGAAGCCGCTGTTCCTCCGCCTTGATTCGCACCCGCTCTTCCATCAACTGCAAACGAAGTGTCTGTGAATCGCGTGCGTGGTCATCCTTCTCGTCTGCATACGCCTTCTTTAAGGCCTCCATCTCGCGCCTGTGTGTGTCACGGGCATCTCTAAACGAATTCACACTTGCAAGCTCCTCCTCAAGCCATTCAATGCGCTTCTGCAGACTCAAAAGGTGATAATCCCGTGACTCCAACATGTCTTGTATCGCTGCCATTGCCTCCACTACCTCGCGCTGCGCTGACTCACGTGCGGCACTCAAATCACCCTTAAGTTTTGCATTAGCAGACTTCACTGCCTCCAGGCAATCCTCAAACGCCTTCATAACCGCAGAGGCGTCTTGCTCCTTCTTCTCCAAGTCATTCTCCAATTGAACATTCTCCTGCGCCAGCTTCTGGTTGACCTTCTGATAGTACGCAGAGGCCGAACTGGAAACCTGAAGCTGCCTATTTGCGAGAGTCGCGGCGACTAGCACCGACTCCGTTTCGTGTCCGTCGCCAAGCAGCGCCCCATGACGTTGCGCACCCGTTATAGTGGGGTCAAAAGTCGTCACACGTTCACCCCTCACCTTCCTTTTCAGCCCCTTTTTCATAATACTGACAGTGCTCTTACTTCTCTCCAACTTCTCGCCCCGCTTTCTCGCCCGTTATGGGTTGCTACCCTCGCTGTTTGGGCGACCTCCGCCTGCTGGGTCGCTCAAAAGACACACGAAAAAAAAAAAAAACTGAGGACAAAACGCATCGATGTGTCGCACACTTACACAAACATAGAGAGAAAAAGGGGGAGCATGAGGGGCAGATACGTGGAAACACATCTTCCACATCAATACTATTATTTGGTTCGTGTGGTGTGTGTGTGTGTGTGTTGGGGGCACACAAAGTCAAAAAGTAAGGAAGAGACAAAACAAAGTAACACTGAAAGGAGAAAGCGGGTGAAATAAAATCCGATGAAGGCATCAGCAGAGACATTGTTATATTTTTATGTATACAATGAGAGACAGAGAAGAGAACGCTTACACACGGGCATGTAAATATATTACGTTTGGTCTCGCGCAAAACTCAAAACAATTGCAGCTAAATCTAACTCTCAGAGTTGCCTTTGCATCGATATGAATCCTCAGCGTTTCATTCTCTCCGACTCTTCTAACACAAAACGCTCAGCTCTAGAAACAACGCTTTCATCACGCAGATTAAACAGCACCTGATCCTCACTTTCCCTGGGCGAGTTGTAAGTTGGGTTCATGGCGATGGCGTCGTAGTGCCGTCCTGTATACACAACAAACGCACGAACAGTGTAGCCCATGCCCTGTCCAAAACGCTCCATCCGAGTCGATTCTAAATCCAGCGTTACAATCTCCGTTTGCTCCGTAAAGCTCAAGATCATCAACTCAATAGCCCCGCCCCATGACGTGGGACGCCTTATCCACTCTGCATACTCATGGTTCGGCTTTTCCAGTAGCAACTCGGTAAAGTAACCGGGATCCGCCAGAACAGCGTTAGCGCATTCATCGCGTAACTTGGGTCCGTCCGTGCGACTCTTGTCCCGAAGTACATACGCTGCAGCATGGAACAAACACGAGTTGTCGGACGGACAAATACGGCGAACAAAGTGCCACCTGTCACTGGCGGGAGGAACGTACCGCCCGTTCGTGACACCCCGCACCACCGTTGCCTCCCCCTCCTGCACAATGAGTGTATCGCCATGCCTAAGCCGGGACCCCACCAAGTCCGTATCCGCCGCAGTGACTACTCGAGGCGGGTAGCCAGCGAGAATACGCAGCCGCTCCTTTACGATGCCTGAGCGATTTTCCACACCGCACAAAAAAACGACCCACGGGGTCGACTCTTCTGATTCAAACGGCACCGACTCCGAACTGTTTGGTAACCGCAGTCTAAACTTCATCTTGAAGAAGACCCTACGTACTAATTGCTTGACAATGTACGGGGAGGGGGGGGGGAGACAACAATCAAAACGCAGCAGCAACTGCAAAATGTAAAAGGAAAGAAAAGCATCATAATTTGTTTCCACACCAAATTCAGAACACAGCTCACTTCCCATGCTGAAGAAGAGTCAAAAACAAATTATGAGGGTAGGTGGAGTTAAAAGCAGGTAGTGCTTAAATGGTCTCTCACATCATATCTACATGAAAAACTGTTTCTCTATTTTTTTTTATTCTTCTTCTCGCTCCTTCCTTTTGTTGCATGGTATTTTGGAGAAGCAGAAAAGAAAAGAAAAAAAAGGCATCCTTCGCTGCATTGATCCTCAAGGTCAATCTATCCGTGGCAGATGTACCAGACCAGACACACCTCCTTGCTTGTTCCCGCTAGCTATCTCCCACTCCTTACAGAGTTGCAAGAACGCCTCGTCTTGTACCTCGTCCTCGGAAGCCACCGTCATGGATCTGTACAACGTCGCCCGTTTCCGAAATGCTTCATAGTTGGCCCTGTATTTCTCCGTCTGGATGGGGGTGTTCTTGGTATTAAAACACTTCATGTGCAGCGCCACAAATTTCAAGGCGGATTCCTCCAGTGAGAGGCCAGGGTACTTCGGTCGTGCTTCCGCCACAGCGATTAAGGCATAAGCGACAGGATCATAGAGAATACGACGCATAAAGGTTTCCTCCTCAATGGTTAACAGAGTATGTCCCTCAGGCAGAGGTGCCTTGCGAGACGGGGGCAAAAACGCCCCTGCAATAAACGTCCACGGACGCATCAAGAAACGCTTTAACGCAGCCTCATCGAGCAGTGCGTAATACCGACCCTCGTACTCTACAACACAACTTGGGTCCCCTTTTTTTGCAACGGGTTCCAGTACCCCGCGCAGACCCCTCGTTTCACGCGTGTCCCACAACGTAACAGGACAACACCCGAGCAATTCCAACGAATACTCTGTGCCGGGCGGCATTCGAGACGGAAGGGCAGTCGGCAAAGGGCTTAACCCCGGTGGCGCAGACAGTTCTCCTGGATTGAGCAGAAACCGTTGTAAGTATTCGTTCGAAGAGAAAAAATAGTACTTATCAAGAAATTTAGCGCCGTATAGACGGCTCTCGCGCTGGTCCAACAAAAGTTTATGTAAACACCAGTTGTAGGGACAGAACCATTGATACGACGAGAGATGGCTCTCAATCTCTGCTGTTGTATGATACGTGTTATCCATACTCATTGGGAACCCTCTGCTAAAACAAAGCAAGGCACGGCCCTCATTCCTAATAAACGTGTTAACATACTCTGTTATCTCCGCAATGGCAGCGATGGTATCCGAAGGCACTGATAAAGAGGTTGTGACCGTGGCTGTGGCAGTTATCAAGGCTGTCACATCCGTATATCGTGTTTCATCAAAACTAAAAACCTTGTCCACCCGCAATTCCCGCCCTCCCAAAAGTTTGTACTGCTCGGGGGTTTTTGGCAAGTTAAGCAGCACCACACCTCTCCGCTTAGCATCCCCAGCGTTGAGACGATGCACCAACAGGTCTGCAACCAACGCATCATCTACAGAGCCAGCGATTACAGCAGCAATAGCACGCCGCGAAAGGGAAAGCAGAGGAGCGTGAACTGCCGCCCAAGAAAGAAGTTTTGAAAGCGAAACAAATATAAAATCAAGGTTGAAGGCAATGTGATTGGCCGTGCATCGTTGCTTCAAAGCCCCCTGATGAAGTAATGCGTGTGTACCATCATACACGGAAACAACAGGTCGAGTCAGGGGTTGAGGCAATGGCGGTGGTTGCTGCACATACAACAATGGATCACGCAGGTATTGCAGAAGAGACTCGTCACTGTCAAAAAAGTACAGACGACCACAAAAGAGGGCCACTCGTTGACACCGACGCAGCCAATCCCGCCGTTTTCTTCGTTCATACCTTTCGCGTATCTCTTCCATCTCCTCGTCGTCATACTCACTCATCTCCTCGTCGTCCATATCCTCTCCCGACGCGGATTCTCTCTGCAACGGTGCTTGTTCCTCTTGAACGCCAGCTTCTTCCCCCTCTGTATCACTATTTGGCTCTTCACGCCCGTTTGCTGCATCACCGTCAACCTCATTCGCGGGCATTGCTGCTGCTGTTTCTGCTTCTACTTCAGTGGATGGCTCCGGCTCCAAAGTTGTGCCATTTGGCATCCACTTACATACACGTCTCACCCCATGTCTTTTGTTGTACAGAGCAACCGGGTCAGTGTACCCAAAATAAGAAAGAAATGCCCCGCCATACTCGAGCATTTTCACGGCATTGTCAAAGCGAAGAACTTCTGCGGTGTATAAAATAGAACGGCGATGCTCCAGAAATCTAAATAGCTGTCGGGTGACAGCATGAAACACGGCGTTTGGAGAGAGGTCACCACTAAGCGAGACAAGCTTCACGAAGCGTTCTGTAATAGCCTCCTCAAACTCCTCCAAAGCCCCTTTTTCTATACTTCGAAGGGATTTGAGCGACTCCATGACGGCATCATCATCATCTGCAGCACCTGATGCCTCATTTCCGTCCCTTTCCCTCAGTGGCGAGCCCTCCTCACTCTCCTCGTCCACTTCAGAGTCAGGGTCATCCTTGCCAATGTGACGACGGCGCCACTTCCGCAATTCTCGCTCCTTCTTCTGCTTCTCCTTCTCTAACATTTTTTTAAGCATCTCCTCTTGTGACACTTTCGAGACAACAGACCTGCCGGTCGCAGCGCCTGAAACATGCTGACTGGCTTTGTTATATGCAAAGAAGAGCTCCTCAGAGAGATCCAACTTCACCGTTGACTCCGGAATACATCCGGTGGTGAAGAGCACCTCAATGTCACCCTCCGAAAATGGTGGGCACACCATAATGTAACCCTCAGACTCGAAGGGCTCAATACGTGTCACACAGCTAGCAATCTTCAAGTAGGCCTCACTGAGTCGTAGATCTCGATCCTCGTCCGCCTCAGGTTCAAATTCGAGATATTCTTGCAACCGCGCCTCTGCCTCCTCGTCCATCTCCTCATTTTCTTCATCATCATCTTCGTCATCTTCATTTTGTTGAGCCTGCTCACGGCGCTCCATCACTGCCTCTGCCTCTTCACGCAATTTTATGCTTCGCTCCTGTTCAGCAGCAAAGTCCCGCACCTCCTTCAGAATAGTCTCGGCAAGGACAAGGTACGAGTTCTCACTGCCCTGCTCAGCTATGGGGATTCCATCGATGACCTCACCACCAGGCTTACGTGCGGCCTCAATGCAGCGCTCAAAAAAACGTCGGTCGTAGGTAAAAAAAGGTACATTGTACTGCTCATGGAGCTTCCGACCAAGTGTCTTTCTCCCACTTTTTGTGTATCCCACAATCCAAACACGGGGCGGTGGGCTTGTTGGGGGCATCTCAAGGTACCGTAACGGGTTACATTCAAACTTCGCCATGGCTTCCTCGGATGCGAACACATACAATTTATTTTGGTACAGTGAACACAACTCGTTTTTGCCACATAACAGTAACCGCTTTTCGTGCAGTGTCACTGGACAGTACTGTAGACGTGAACCAAATTGATTCAGAAACCTCTTACCCGGTCGTAAAGCGGCATTAACCACCTCAGCTGCAAGACCCTCATCATTCTCGTCTTCTTCATCCAACTCCATCTCGGCCTCTTCACCTTCCATCTCCCCAAGTGCATCATCAACGATACCCGCCTCGACTGGTGCCATTCCAGAGCATACAAGTTGGAGAATCTCCGCAGTCAAAATCCGTGCGTCCTTGTCGTTAACGTTCACGTGATGAATGGTAAACCGTTGAGCAGGTGACTCCTCCCTCTCACCTGTCCCAGGTCTCGTGGGATTCTCTAGCTTTTCAAGAAGAATCTCCTGCGGCAATTTCACTTCCTCCTTAGATGCATCTTCCATACTAGCCTCCTCCTCTACAGATGAGGCTGCATCCTTCGCTCCCTCTCCAGAGGACCGCTCGTACTGCAAGACGATAACCTGTTCTGGCATCACACCCTCACTTAGCAATTGATCCACGACGTCTACAAAGATGTTTTCAAAGCCATACACTAAAACCGGAACAAATGACTTTCGGCGATTTAATTGTTCAGCAATCGCCTTCTCAATACGCGACGTGGCCGTCTCCGGCCCCTCGGGCTTCTGTTCCCAACCCTTAAACTCCTCCTCCTCCGGTTGAGAGACGGTCAATTTTCTCGAGCGTCTATTTTTGCCCGTTGGAGGCGGCTTAGGTTTTTTTTCCTTTCTTAGTTGGGCGGCCCTGCGTTTTTTCAACCGCTCCGCACGCAGTTTTCGTTCCGTAAGTTCAAACTTCACCCGTGCGGCGAGTGCTTGTTCACGCAACTCCTTCAGTCTTCGATGCTTGTCCCAAAGGGCAACAAACTCGTTGAACTCGATTGGTGTGAGCTCCAGTTGTTGGTGAAGAAGCCAAATAAGTTCCGTCTGAGCGGGGGGCGGAAGACACCGCGCGGCACCTCGCTGACCCAGAATGGAGAGAAGCAGTATTGGTTCCCTGTTCAGCGGCATCGGGCGGAGATAAGGCAGTGGGTTCGCTGTAAATTTGGCGAGCTTCGCCTCCGATGCCAAGTGGTACAGTCGCTGTCGGAACACACAGCCGTAGTTCCCCGCTCCCTCTACCAAAACCCCACACTCCGTAAATGTTACCGGACAGAAGCGCTTCCAGCGCGTGGAAAAGGTAGCCCCCATGCCTGTGGCGGCTTCTTCCACCACACGCGCCATCTCCTCCTCCCTTTCAAGGATGAGAGTGGCATCCTCCTCTCCTTTGTGTTGCTGGGGTGGTGATGCCCGTTCTGCGGTGAGATCCCGTGGCAGCACACATGGCTCAAGCCGCAGCGTCTCCACAGCATAAGCAACGGTGTCCTCAACTAACGAGGTGCAACCCACCGATAAACAGCGGCCCACGGAATGGAGGCGTTCCACAATCTCTTGAAAACATGGAAGTTCCGTTACGTACATCTCCTTGCCTGGTTTGTCTCCTCTTAGTGACCACTCAAGAAGTCGCCTTAATATCAGACTTTTAATTTGTTTCTCACGTTCAGCAGACTCGGGGGATACTTCAACGGGCTTCTCTGCTTCCTCCTCCTGTGCGGCGATTGCCTCGGGTAGTTCCTTCTCAGCCTCTGCCGCTGCAGACTTCATTACCTCCAACTCCGTCGGGTCCAGTGCATCGGCATCGGCAGCAGACATCTCCTCGTATCGCTTTATAGTCTCGCGCAGCTTCTCCACCCTATCCATCAACTCCTGGAGACGAGAATCTTTCTCGCCCCACTCCTCCTCTGCAGCCTGGCAAAGCTGCCGCTCAGAGTCGTGCAATGCACGCCGCTCCTTCAATGTGGCGTCAAGGCGATCGGGATAAAAGCCGTCATCGCAGCTCAGATGCAGGATAACACTCGGCACGAGCACGTCTAAAATGCCACATCCATTTAAAAACTCCAGTACATCCGCGTCTGCAGCGTCGTGAACGGAGGGAAAATCGCTAAATACATATCCACGGTACAGCGCCTCGTCGGTCGAGATTTTCCGACGCACTAACGCCATCAGCAATGAAAGTGGAATGAGGGCTTCACTATCCACACATTTGCAAAGTTCAGCACCAAGTGCATCCCCCGCATCTGCCTTTGTAACCGCCTCCAGAGCGAGCTCCTCAAGACTTAGATGTATACAATTTAAACGCATTGCCAACGCCTTTGCCACCGTTGTTTTTCCTACACCTCGCCTGCCGCATACAATAATACGATTAGCAGCAACGTCTGTATCATACAATTCCATTTCCTGCTTGACCTCGTCCAACTCTTCAGCGATATATAAATCCATTGGGTCCACAAGTATACGACCAAACGCAGCGGAAGGCTCCCGATGCTGAAACAGCTTCATCCCAAGAACGCTTTCGGGTTGCTGCAGTGCTTCCACGCTTGTGCAAAAAAAGTTCTCTAGGCAAGACGCGGTATCAGTTTCAGAAGCATACATACGGCACATGCGCTGACACGTCTTTACGAACTGTCGCTTCTTCATCACGCCCTGTGCGTTTAAATTCTCAATCCACATTGTGCGGGCAGCCACGGTGGCAGAGCCCTCCGTGGCATTGGTAAAAATCCGCATGTAGAACCATTTAAAAAACTCCGTGAATTGTTCAATTGGAAGGATTTCACGGTCCCCCGGTTCCTCAGAAGGCTGCGTAAGCAACTCCCACAAGGTGTTGTAAATCTCTGAAAACTCAGGGGGTTTCACAAACTCTACAAATGCCTCAAATGGCGTGACAAGTGTTTTGGAGTGCGCCACGACCGACTGTGCTGTCAAAACCTCTTGGTGTGGCAGCAGCGCAAATGGCTCCACGTCGTGTGTGACGCAGTCCGCCAACTCCTTCAAAACACTTATATGTTGTTTTTCGCTCACAGCCAACCACTTCTTCTCGGGGTCATGCCACTCCAACCAGCGGGACTCCACCTCCACCAAGACCCGAAGAAAGTCATCCCAAGTGTACTGTGTCCCCTCCTCCGCCTCCACACTGCCCAAAATAGCCTTGACGCCCTTCTCAACATCCTCCATGATGGGATTTCGGTGGCAAGCCGTAAAGAGACACTCCACAAGCTGCCGCATGTCCGAAAACGGGACGGAGGCTGTTCTTATGGCAGATGTAGTGAGGTCCTTTTCCACGACTGTCTCGGGCGTGGCATCGCCGGCTGTATCCGCGGCATCCGCTGCTGCCGCCATAATCTCCGACTTCAGCTTGACAATGCACGGCAAAGCGCACCATAACTTCTCTTGAACGCCTTCGAGCGTCCCTTCGAGGGTGGTAGAAACCGGGAGCGCCATCGCAGCACCAAACTTCCTGTTCAATGTGAATGTATTAAGCCCCTCCAACAACAACCACAACAAAAACAATGGTAGGGAAGCAAAGCAAGGTCGTAAAAAAAAAAAGGGGGGGGAGGGGGGAAAGGAAGATCAGTGACTCTGACAAGCGCAGGTGCGGCACCTTCATCCCGGGAGGACGACGACGACGACTCGTTAGACACACCCCAGATGAACGGCAACCGCACAACATAAACGAGCAAACAAAATAAAAGAAAGAAAAAACACAAAAACAGGGATAAACACTAGCAACAACAGAAAAAGAGAGAGGGATAAAGAGGTAGCTATTGTGGGATTATGTCACTACATCGTATTCTGCATGCGCCAATATGCGTCACTGTACGCCTGCAATTCTGAGGTTTTGAACTTAACCGCTTGTGCACGGCGCAATATCTCATCCGGATCTTTTCCTTCATGCATTTTTTTCAATGCGGGGATAGCCTCGTCAAACGGCATTTTCACAAGCCGCTTCTCTTCCCACTTCATCAACGCGATTGCAACACGAAAAATGATCTTCCATCCTTCGCTCATGAAGATGTCCCAGACCCGCAGCAGGGCACGAAACGGAAAGTGATATACAAACAATGTCATAAACCACTGTGAGGCATAGAAGGACGGATGCATCCCCACGGATTCAAAGTGACTGTACAACTTGGGCAACAAGCGAGCCATGAGTTGGCTCAGCTGATAAAAAAATTGTTGCAGCATAGGAAACCCAGGTCGGTACATCTCACGAAGTGTATATCGACTATCGTACATCAGCGTGTGTAATGCCCAAAATGTCTCTTCCTCCTCCATCTGGGTGGAGAGTGCACCAACAACAAAGCCCATACCTTGTACATACCCCACCTCCGGATCTATGCAGGCGTAAGCATGAAGTACATTACGCAAAAACGTCTGTCCAACACCTCCCTCTTCTCTAAAAAGAATATGTGTTGGAAAAGTTCGTGCCAAATCCCGCTCAATAACCTGCGCCAATTCCTCATCCGCAAGCTCTTTGTTGTACAGGGATGCGTATGTACCTCGAATGGCGGGATCCAACATCTGCTTGTGTGACCCAAGCAGTAATTGCCAGGCCACACCACGGAAGCGTGCGGGTATCCCTTTGCGGCAACGCTCCTTCAAAAGAGCATGTCGCTTGGAGTTCACCTTGTCCCAGTCAGAAGCCATGTTTGCCCACTTGACCTCACGACGAACTACTTTCTTCCCATCTATATTCTTAACATAAAGCAGTTCCCTATCCTTTTGTTCCCTGTCAATTATGAAGCCAAACTCGTCGATAAACTCCCTCTCGTCATCATCCTCCTCATCTGTATCCTGAGGCCTCACTGATGTCACTTCTTGTGCAGCCGCTTCACTCCCACTGGCAATGCCGGCATTACTGGTAGATGAAAACGCAGGCTGCGGCACACTGTCAGCTCCCAGTGCTGCTAAGTCATGGTTTTCCCGCCCCAGGCTTGTCTGTATGACCTCAATGTAGGCTGAATGGGTGGTTGCTCCCGAGTTCTGGCCCTCGCCCCCCCCTTGCTCCTCGGGCCCAAAGACACTGCTCTCCTTGTGCATGAGTCGCAAGCTAACAGCAACCAGGTGACGCAGTGACAACTACCCGCTTGAGCCACACAAGACGAGCCTCTCGCATTAAGCAAAAATCAAAGGGACAAAAAAAGAGCGGAGGTTGAAGTCGCAGAGAAACTAGAATGCGATGAAGTGCTCATTTTCCCCTCACCCACACCCCGCCGCCTTTGATACTTTCTCAAATCCTCTCCACCAAGCATGGTTTCAAAAGAAGTGAAAAAAAAAAAACACGCACACCACCATTACACGATAATTAATTAACAGGATGTCATGTACTTTACGCCCAAACAGTACGGCAACTAACGTATGTGTGCTGACACCATTATTATTACTTTGCTCTTCGTTGTTGCTTGCTGTTTTGTTCTCCCTTTTCTGGCAACCACATCACTCTACCACCTCGCACATGAAGAGCCAAAAAAGAAAAAAAAGAGCGAGTAAGACTGAAGTGCAGGATGCCAGACAAAGTGGAAAAGAAAGTAAAAAAAAAAAAAACTCTTATATACAGCTCTCAGATGCATACACGCACCAGCTTACGCCTTGCAGCCGGTCCCCGACCTCCTCCTCTTCATCGTTACCGTCATCCTTTTCAATGCCGCACCACAAAGTAGCGCATTTGCCACCGCTGCAGCAAGCGAACACCATACTTTTGTGCAATTTGCCTCGCAGAGGTTGGTATCAACGTAGGTGAAGGAGCAGCTGGCGGTGCCTCTATACGTTTCGTCGCACGTGCCACAAGGGACTGCAGTGAACGCTGTGTACCCTCCTTCATCTGGTCCTCAGGAAACTCTTGCGGGCCAACACCTACATACAGGAGCACTGGTTTTCCCGAGAAGGCTTTGGGAGACCCATAGACTGCTTCCCAAGCCTGTAGATAACGCGGGTTCGTAGTGTGCTGGTAGAGAAAATGCGTATAGTGGGCCGTCCGGACAAAGTTCAACAGAAACTCCTCTGTCAAGATGTCACAAGAGGTAATAAAAGCTGAAGCATGAGGACCTACTGCCAATGCATCAAGCCGAAGCTGCGTCGCAGGAGCAAAGGGAGATTCTAACTGACGACAAAAGCTCTTGATAATATCTTGATCCGCCCCGGTATGACGATAGGCAAAATGTCGAGAGTCCACTAGCTGATCTACACTTGTAAACGGTTCCAGTGGATCCGCCATGATGCCGAGTGCAGTCTGAAAGGTCTTCACATTATACGTTTGACGCAGCAATAAATGATAGGTATAATCTATCCGGTGATACAGACGCAGTTGATTCATGTTTTCAATGACAAGTGGATGACAATCCACACCTACCAAAGCGGGGTGAAAGTGCGTGAGTGCAAACCCCATGTTACGGTACGCGCACAACGTGCGGTCCTCAATATGTTTCACGGCAGGTGAAGGAGCGGATGTCACGGGATCCACAATAGTCACAGGAATGGTCTGGTGGATGTGCATCTCGCAACAACCCACTCACTCCCCCCCCCCCCAACACACACACTTTCTCCTCTTATCGTCACGCCTTTTCTATCCCCCTCCTTCTCGCCCTCTTACACTTTCCTTCACACACAACACTACAGAAGGGAGGGAAACGCACTGCAACCCCTCTCTACTCCCATGCTGGCGGGCAGCCAAGCCCGAATTTCACCGCGGAATACGTTCTTCAATAGAAGCCTAGTCGTCACTTCCTACACGGGGAAAAAAAAGACAAGAGAAGCTAAGTAGCCTGGAGTATGCTGTTCATCTTCCTCATGCAAGCAAGATTTATTCATAACTTGCAAACTGCAATTCATTGTCATCTAAAGGCGTTCGTACGATAACCGGGCTCCTTTTGTGAAACAACGGAGTGGCAGCCTTTAAGAGGAAGGGGCCTCGCGACCGCCAAACCACTCCGCGTTGAAGGCAGTAGTTGTGTGAGGATGATATCAACCTCAGGGAGTTGGGGCACGGTGACATAAACAAAAACCAAAAGAAAAACAGCTTTCTCGCGTAACCCTCCAACGCGGCATCGTAGGGCACAAAGTAATTAATACAAACAGGGGGATTTAAACGATGCGCTCCATCAGAACATTTGGTCCCAACTTCTGCGCGCAAATTGTTTCCAGGATACTATACAGCAATAATAATAGGGCGAAAAACACACTTGAGAGGGAGGGAGGGAGGGATGGTGGGGGGAGGGGGAAAAATAATAATAATAAGAAATAAAAATTGAAGGTATCACGCCCCCGGCAAACACATGTACGCATACACTGCAGTTCTCTGCCTTCTCTTCCTTTTCCTTCGGGTTCTTCCCACTCCCACAACACCAAAAAAAAAAAGGAAACAGCCAATCCAGACCTGACCACTGCGCACCAACTCCAAAAACAAAAAAAAACAAAAAACAAATGTCATCTGCAAGCCCAATACTTCGCCTCCCAACGGACCAACTCCACCGTCTTAAATTTCACATGAAGCGCACGACGAAGAATCAGATCAGTGTCCTTCACCTCATGCATGCGTCGCAAAGCCAAAAGAAGCTCGCATTCATCCTTCGCTTGGCACAAGGTTTTCTTGTGAAGCAAAAATAGTGCGATCGCTACACGGTAAATAATTTTCCATCCTTCGCAGAGAAACATGTCCCAAATGCGCGAGAGTAGGCCAAAGTCCAATTGGTACGAGAAGAGGGTTAAAAACCATTGTGTCGCGTAGACTTCTGGAGTTACATGGAACTTCTCTATTAGACGAAATGAAGACTTGCACTTTTTCTGCATCAGTTTACTTAATTGGTAAAAACGCATGTAAAGAGCAGGGAACCCGACGCTGAACATCGCCGACATGGAATACTTTGGGTGGCGCATAAGTGAAAAAAAAGCCCAAAAAGTGTTCTCCTCATCCTCAATATACAGCAGTAGGGTGGAGGCTAAAAAAGCCATTCCCTGCACATAACCTATTTCCGGATCAACGTTGGCATAGGCACGAAGAATACCCCGCAGTTTGCTCTGTCCCACACCATCCTTTTTCACAAACCACCTATGCGTTGGGAAGGTGCGGCCCAGGTCGCGTTCAATAACAGCGAATAGCTCTGGATTTGATGGCAGACGTAATTTTAACGTCTGGTAATAGTCACGGCTAAAACCCTGGCGATCGCCGCCATCCAGAAGCACCGGCCACACTATTCGTCGCATGGACTGTGGGATGCCTTCTCGACAGAGCTTTTTCTTTCGCTGGTGTGAGACGGAACCCCACCGCTCCAACTCTCTCGCCCACATCGACTGCATTGCCGGCATCTCTGGGTGTCGCCGAATGTAATTATCCTCCTCTACCTTTTTCGCTAGATCAATTAAAAAACCGTAGCGATCTGTCACACAATCGCTCGCTAACGAAACATTCTGCCCCACTGTTGGGAATGACGCCTGCTTTGGAGACAGGGAAGCATTAGGTTTGGAAGTGCGCTTGGCCATTTTCTGCGCCACCTCCCGCACACCAGCAGCTACATGCGTCGTTTGCAAAACCGACCGAAGAAAATAAAAAATAAAAATAAAAAGATGCAACGGAGAATCAAAGACAAAATACAACCAAATAAAACAGACAGAATAAAAAAAAGTCTTATGTATACGAACAAACAAGAGCAACGTTATTTGAATGACGGTCGTCACTGCAAGTGGCACACAAAATAATAATAAATGCATCCCCAGCGATCACAGTGCCAATAAACCAACATGTCACCGCCCAGCTTTGACGGCTAGACGCCAAGATCAAAGATGAGAAGAAAAATTTAAAAAAATAAATCACGAATAATATGTATTATATATATATATATGTGGGGATGCGGGTAACCAATGCAGAGATGATCCCGCAATATAGCCCCATTCACATAATTCAACGGCAAGCTGTCTTCGCTTGCAGCAACTGTGCCTCCAGCGTTTCTACTGAAATTGCGTCCACCTCCCACTCCCCAACCTCCTTCGTACACCAAGGATCCTCTACTCTCAAGCGGTGAATACGATAGTGTTTACTGATTGCAACTTCCGCGGATTCGTTGGACAACTGATAACCCTTCTTTGGCTGTTTGCGTCTGAAGCCAAAGAGCGATGGTCCAGAGGAACCAGTTTTAACCGCCTTTGCCGATAACCCCGCAGCATATGCACGGACAAGAAACATGTTGAAGTCCGCCATAGCCATAACCTCAACCCCTAAGGGACGTACATTTGCTACCAGCAATGAACCCACAGAAGAGGGCAACTGGCTGAGGAGTTGCTCAGACATTTCTTGAAAGCCGGGCTCACTCATTAAAAGCGTCTGGAGACACCATTTGGGTAAAACGACTGCAAGTTTTTCTGCCACAGTACACAACAGTGGCATCTGCGTGCACCTTGAAATATTCCACAGAGTCACAGCATCACAAAAGACAAATACGTTATCAACTAGAATAGAAAAGGGTAATCTTCTAATAGGAACACGTACCCCATCAAGAATAACGCAGCCACATGCCTTGAGGACTCCTTCAGTCCTAACCACATGGTAGTACTCGTGATATCGTTCTACAGCTGTTTCACGCAATGCCTTAATAGTCTCCAAATTGATTTCATTCCAATCCACTATGGTAGTACCTGAAATCATGCCATCACACAAATGAATGCAGTCCGCCACATATCCTTGATCATAATGCATTTTTGCCCATCCACTATGTGCGTGTTCACTGTCCGGTTTTCGTTGGAGCACTTCCGTGTACAAAGCTTCTGCCCCTTCCCAATCTTCCGCACGACGCAGTTGCTCGGCCCGTTCAACGAGAAGGTGATTTAGGTAGACATCTGAGGCAGTTAGCATCGCTTCCCACTCAGGTTTGAGAGGCTGGCAAAGGAGCTCAACAGGATCAATGCAGTGCTCAGACTTTAGTAGCAAGCAGCGGGGATGAGCAAGCAGCACCTCAGCCACGTCCACACGACCATACGAAAACGCCACATGCAAAGCATATACCTCACCAGTCATGGCAAAATCATGGTATTGCTCTGGCGTACTATTCGATAGAGGAAAAAAAAAGAACGCCAGTGAAGACACTTCTCACCATCAAAGTCCAGTTGCATCGCAGCAAACTCCCCTATACCGTAGGCGGCTGTCATAAAAAGCAAGGCAGAACGCCTGTCCTCTGGAAGTTTACAATAACTTTGAAGCGCTACATTATGTCGTCGTTTTAGGAGGGTCTCCTTCCACTTGCAATGACAGTTGCTACATAGCGAATCAAATTTTCGGCAAAACTCGCACTGGCTGGCAAACGGAACATTCAGTTGTTGCGGCAAACTTTGAAGCAACTGCACTTTCTTGGCTCCTTTAGATCCCTTTTCAGAGGCCTTTTGTGCCGCACGCATCAGTAACACATCCACAGCATTTAGCTTAATCTTTCTGGGATCAACAACGTAGCTGCTGAAGTTTCGGAAAACCCTAGGGTCTTGGGATATCTCTGAAGAGGCAGCATAGCACCTGTACGCACTCAGCTCGCGTGACCGTGTCGCAAGTAGAGAGTTACTGAGAATCTCCTCAAGGAGCAGCCTGTTGCGACGCTGTCGCTCCCCCAAGAGCGCATCAGCTGACGACAGTGAGGAGGCCTCATGATCCTTATTGTCTTGCCCATCCTGCTTTGTGCACACCCCATCGAACGCATTCAAAGCAGTATCCTCCAACGCATACGCGACATCTTTCACCTCGTCCCCTACTGGGAGATGAAAAGGGTCCACGTGCGTGTGGCGGACAACACCTTCCTCCATTGGCGCAGAAGCAGCCTAAGAGAACCAAAACAAACCATTCAATGTTTGGCCCCATTCAGCATAAAAATTCAAGCCACAGCAAAAGAAAAAAAAGGAAAAAACGATGGAAAGAAATACCACAAAGACATCGGGACGGACCAGTAACCCCCATTTTTTGCCGTTTTCACAAACGTGCATTGTTTTAAGAGTTCAGAAACAAATTTGTGAGCGGGGTCAGGCAAGTTTGTAAGAAAAGCACGGAAAGGAGAAGAGAATCACCAGACTCACCAGCAGAAACAGAAAAAAAAAAACTGCTCTCTGATGTTGTACAGTCGTTCCTTTTCTCTTTATCTTACTTTCTTTGTTGTTGTTGTTCCCCCTTTTTTCGGAAGAGGCCAAGACGCTCATTCGTCTTTGTGATTTATTTTGGGCGTCTCACACCATCATGTAACCACCGACACACCGTTTCTGTTTTTGTTTTTGCTTTTTCAATTCCCTTGTGTGTGTGTGTGTGTGTGTGTCCCGTTTAACCCCTTCTTATCTGTTTTTAAATCCGCCTTTTCGAGCCATCGCCACGGCGGTGCTTCCCACATAAAAATGTTACACACCCCACCCACGAAGCCGTTACCACTCGTTTCTGCTAAGGCGAACGTTTTTGTTCTCCAGCAATTCCTTGTGCACGCCGTCCCGCAGACGACCGCGCAGGACGCCGAGGTCTTGCTTCAGAACATCGAGACGCGTCAAAAAAATATTCTTCGCCAGGCCGTACGAGATGTGGCCCTCGCCCAGCAACCACGGCGCGGCGCGTCGCACCATGTTGAACTCCGGGTTAAGGTTCATAATAAACGACTCCAGCACGAGAACCGAGAAGAGAAGTGCCACAAATGAGGGATCCATTTGGACGTGGTTCTCGCGAATGCACTCAAATATGGACTGCAAAATGTTGGTTACCGCAAAATCCGAGGATTTCTTGGGACGCCAGTGCTCAAAAAGCCAACTCACCTCCTGCTCAAATTTATCCTTGTCCACAAATTTCTGCGTGGTGCCCATGCGTAGCAAGGAAGCGCAACACAAGTCTGACTTCCAACGAACAAAGGACTCCATCAAGTCGTGTGCAAGATTCGCCTCGTGTGGACTAATGCGTTGACAGAGTCCCACGTCGATAAGTGAAACTCGCGGATCATGAGGGTCCGAGATGTCGATGAGAATATTGCCAGGGTGCATGTCCCCGTGCACAAAGTTGTCGTGCAGCAGCATCTTACACCATGTGTTCAAGCCTTTATGGGCCAGAATATCCCGCACATGCTCTTCTTGTGCGCTAAGAAACTCAGGAGAAGCGGGTTCACCCTTGCAGAATGACTCCACTAGCACTCGCTGTGTGGAAAACAGCGGCTTTGGAAAGTCCACAAATGGTTCATGCCTAAAGTTTTCGCGAAAAATGGATAAATGTTTCGCCTCTAGACGGAAGTCCAACTGCGAGGCGAGATGGCTCCTCCACGCATACGCCAATGCCGGAAGTTGATACAATTCAAGGGATGGGAAGTACTTGTCTAACAGGTATGCCACTTTCATAATAATGCGGAAGTCTTTCAAAATGGTCTCCACAATGTTGGGATGCATCACCTTGATGACAACCTTCTCACCTGTTTGACGCGATCTGGCCAGGTGTACCTGTCCAATTGAACCTGAGCCCACTGGCGTCGATTCGATGTCATAAAATAGTTCTGAGGGGTCCATCTGGAATTCCTCACGAATCACCTGCAGTGAGGTGGTGTAAGGGTGAGTGTCCACCTCGCTGTACAGTCGTTTAAATACAGAACGAAACTCGGGTGAAAATATGTCATGCCGGGTGCAGCTCCATTGCCCAGCCTTCACAAAGGCTGGGCCGGCACGCTCTACCGCACGCACAAACATTTCCAGCCACCGAAGGTACCACGACCTTCGAATTCGCATCACGACATACAGAACTGCAAGCGGGAAGAAGAGCATAAATAATTCGACGATGCGGCCTGCAATTGACAGCCTCCCCGGCTGCAAAAATACCTTTCCGTCCAGGTACATCGAACCATTCTCGTCAAACACAGGATAGGAGATGGAAATCGAGGGTTGTATACTCTTACGATACTCTACATAAATGCCAAGTCCACCAAGTGAGACAACAGGAACCCCGATAAGAGTGACGAGTGCCCTGCGCCCCAAGAAACGGCAGAAGAGCATCTACGATGTGACAGACCCCAAGACCACCAAGAGCAGGCCCTCTATTTCTGCCTTTTTTTTTTTGCCCGGCACCGCTCTTCAGAAAGCACCTGCATGTATTTGCATTAATCACGTACATAGATGTGGCCATACAAGTGTGCGTGTGTGTACGAGAGCAAGAAAAAAAAAAAATAAATAAAAAAAGGAAGCAGCACTTATTTGCTCCTCTTTTTTCCCCCTCCCTCCTCTCTCTCTCTCTCTTATCCAATTATGTTGTTTGGCCCAATGTTCGATGTGCCTTGTAGCGCCGTAACAAAAAGGAGTAAATAATATATATATATATATGCTTATGACGTCTGAGGAGGTCACCTCTCAACTTCGCCCTTTCTTTCCTTCTTTGTGTTTTCTGTTTCATTCACCACAGTGCGTTCGTTGCTGATGTTGTTTCGTTTATCAGCTTGTTTCTTGAGGATTGCTTGGGTGTGAGCGGGGGCAGCGGTAGTACACGCCCGTGACACCAACAAGACACACAATCAACTGCGAACTAGAAGATCCTTCTGTCGTTGCTGCGGTTTAGCTTCTCAGCAACGGCAGCCCGTGTGTGTGTGTGTGTGTGTGTGTGCATGTGTGTTTTCGTGTCATCCCTGCCTCCTCCTCTATTCTTCATTCATCTGTTTCCCCCGAATTCCAATTCTTTATTCCCCTTTTTATTTCCTCTTTCCTTTGCCTACTCGTAGTAGTCAACGAATAATTCTATTTTGATTGTTTTGTTTTTTTATTCCCCTTATCTTTCTCCGCCCACCACCCCAATTTTGTCTCTCTTCTCCGGCTGCGCTTCCTCATTGACCACCCTTTGCACCTGCTGGTGCGTTGCGTACCAACCCGTGGGACGCGGCCCCCGCTCCCCTTGTCCCTCTCCTTACCCTCACATCGCCTTTGGCATTGCTCGTCCTCTCCATCAGGCGACCCATGAAAGGCGCAGCAACGCCTCCTGGGCTTTTTCTTGATTGCCCTGCGCTAACTCAAGAAAAATGGCTAGCATGTGATACGCAAGAATCACACCCTGGTTGCTGGTGTTGCTAGTCGAGCCCGTTCCCTCCTTCTCCTTCGCCGCGCGGCCCTCATACACCTTCGCCAGAAGCGACTCTACAACAGAGGAGGCCTGATTCCACAGACCATTTGCGATATGTGTGATGGCCAAGTTAACAAAAAGCGCTTCCACACGACCTTGCTGGTGGCTGTCAAGGGGCTCCGAGGAGGAACCAAGGACGAGGCTGGAGAGAGAAGAACGACGAAGCACTTTCAGGGCTCGTTCCGGTTCATTTAGGTGTATTAACGCCTCCACCATATACGACAATAAGGCGGCGTGTAGATTCGGTGAGAGTGGGCGACGCTCGTGCAAGCTAAGGAGGTCATATCCCACGTTGACCACAACAATGTAGTTCTTTCGGCATATCTCAAGTGCACACCAATAGAACAAAGCAAAGTGAATAAGCTGAACATTATGGGGAAAGGCCTCCATGGCACTAGCAGCAGTGTGACCCCGTGGCAACAGAAGCAGCAGTGCATTCTGAACCGTAGTACACACCAGTGTTTCTAGTGAAGTGCAGACAGAGCTATCCTTCGGATCGACAAGAGGGCCTTGATTGATGGTGGCTCCAGGTAGAATAAGATATTCGTAGTTAGGAAACATCTTACCGTTACGCAGCTGCTCCGAAAAGTGATCCTGCATGCGTTCATACTCTTCCAGACCCTTTTTTTGTGCCTCCTTCTGCAGCTTACCAACAGCGGCCTCAGCAAAGCGCACCCAAAACAGCGGAGATTTCTTCATAAACTCCTGCACAGAAAGAAAACAAGTAATGGCACTGTCATACTCACCACGTAATAACGCACAGAGCCCCGCGTTGTAGACAATGGGATGCCGCATCAAAGGGGTATTGCATTGCGCGACAGCTTTTTCTGCCTTCGCAAAGCAAAGGGACGCCACGTTCATTTTAGAATCACCCATTATCAGAACTCCAAGATTGTTAAAGTAAACAGCCCAGTCTGCGTCGGAGTTGTGTGGCATTTCCTGAATGGTGCTGGAGTCGGCAAATGCCCCCCTTATCATAGTAAGAAGGGCCGGATCTTTTGTAAACTTATCCATGGCTTCCGCGACCACCTTCTGAATCAGATCCTCATCAGAACGCTGACGATGATGCACCGTCGTCGGAATACGTGTGATTGTCTGTAAGAGGCAAACCACACGCCCCAGGACTGCAGGTTTAATGCTGTTGTGCATCCCAAGCAGGCCACGCAGAATAACTGCTGCCTCGTTTAATAGCCCAGATCTTGCAAGAAGCAAGGCACGATTAAAATGCGCCGTTTCATGTCCTTCATAGAGGAGGGCAACAGGATGCTTTGTCTCCACCTCCTTCTCATTCAGCGCAGGGATGCCCTCTGTTGAGTTGTCGGCCAGAGCCGCGATGGTTTGCTCTACATCAGCGTGGTTCTGCAGCAGTCGCACAATGGCCAGGTTGTGTTGTGCCTGTAAATCTTCGTGTGGCATCTTCTGAAGGACCGACTCGCACGCCTGATAATTCTGCGCTTCGAATGCTTTACGGGCGTTCTCTAACTGTTCTTTAATGGCATCGTCCGCCATTTGTGCGCTAGTCACTCTCTTTTACTTTTCGTGTTTTTTTTGTTTTTAGTTTTTGATACCCGTCGATTTGTTGGTTATCGTTGGGATGGCGTTTCGGTTTTACCCAGACACAAAAGCACACAACCAAAAAGAAGAAGCAACAACAACAAAAAAAAAAAAAGCAAGCAAACAACACACTTTTGTAGCAGCCGTGAAGTCGTCGAGGCCAAACAGAAGTCCTCTTTTTCTTCATTTTTTTTCTATTTCGAGTCCTCTGCTCTGGCGGGTTTTATGGAGCCACTATTCCTGCAATCATCTTTCTTGTTTTTACTTTGTCCTCCTGCCGAGTCCCTTCGGAGCACGCACGTTCCCCGCGCTGTCGATTATGTACATATGCCACAGGCGCACATCCAACGCGGGCGCCCCCTCAACTTATCTGTCTTTGGGTGGCAGCAGCATGCGGAGGAACTCCTCCTTTGACACGCGCTGGTCATGGTCGACAACGTCAGCTTCCTTAATCATTGCCTTAAGGACATCCTCCGGCATGTCCTCTCCAACCTCCTCTGCCACACGCTTTAGGTCATCGAGGGTGATGTAATCGGAGTTGCCCTTGGTGAAGTGGGGAAAGGAAAGAAGCACCTCCTCGCTGTCTTCGGCGAAAAACTTCCCCTTCATGATGGCCTCGAACTCGGGGAGGATAAGGTTGCTCGAGACACCGCTTTTGTCCATCTCCGCCACGAGCTCTTTGATGGCGTCCTTCTGCGGCTCGTACCCGAGGGCGCGAAGAACCACCTTCAGATCATTGGGTGTGATCGTTTCCGTCCCGTCCACGTCCAGTATGCGAAACGCCTCAGCAATCTCGGCCCTTTGACTCTCCGAGAGGTCGGGCAGCAAGCGCTGCGCCGAGGACCGCGCAATGTCGTTGTTCATTGAAAGCTTTCCACGCACACGCCCCTCTTCTACTAAAAGCGTCCTATACCTGCTAGGCGCCAGAGTAAAGTCCACCGCGGGGAGTAAGAGTAGATGGAAAGCGCGACGCACGGTGACCAGTAGACAGATGAAAAGCAAACGCATCTCCCCAGCGTGAATAAGCCAGGAGTGGAGAAAGCATCTCAATGCAAAACAAATAAAACAACAACAACAATGGATATATATATATATATATATATATATATATATATATATATATGGATGCGTAAACAGGACACAATCCAAACCTCCAAGTAAATTCCCTACCACTAACACTGCACCACAAAAAAAAA